GAGAGAGAGAGAGAGAGAGAAGAAGAAGAAGAAGAAGAAGAAGAAGAAGAAGAAGAAGAAGAAGAAGAAGAAGAAGAAGAAGAAGAAGAAGAAGAAGAAGAAGAAGAAGAAGAAGAAGAAGAAGAAGAAGAAGAAGAAGAAGAAGAAGGCCATCGATGATTGTAGTATCCTATCTCACACACATAGATACCAGTCCAGCGACTCGCTCACGGCAGCTCATCCACGTCTCTTGCTCACATGCACGCACAGCGAGCCAGCGACGAAGCGCCTCCATCCCCAGAACAGCGGCGGAAATCAAATATCGAGCCCTTCCTCAGAATGGGATCATCATCTCCCACACACACAGGTATTCGAAAAGCTCTAGGACAAAGGCCTATATTTCAATCCATGCCCATCGCACCCGATGTTTCCTCCTTTCCTCCTTCCGACCGACGACCGACGACCGACGACTGACGACCGACGACCAAGACACCAGAAAACCATCCGACGCCGAAATCTATACGCTTGCTTGGAATCAAAATCCCGCTGAAGGCGATGTACAAGCTAGCTAGCTAAAGATTCTCGCCGCGACCCGAGCCACAGGACAAGGATGCTTTCCTCGGGTACGTAAGCATCGACATTGGACTTCATCTATTCGCCGCCCGCAGAACTACATCAAGATGTCTTTCAAAGGGCTCGACGATCCCACGGCTGTTTGGTACTTGAAGAATGATTTCCGGCCGCGAGCTTGGTATGTGATTTCTCCACCACTGCGTTCGTTCGAGTCTTGCGGTTCGCTTGGCGTCGTCGAGCGCGGATTGGGAAGGAGCGGGGGATGGTTGTGATTAGCGCGTTGTCAGGAAGAGGGGAGGTTGGTTGTACGGGGGAGGTCGGGGGAGATGTGTATGTATTTTGAAGAAGATAAGTCGATGTGTTTTATGGAGGGGGTTGGGTGTTGGTTACGATTGTTTGGCTGAGGCTGTGAGTGGAGATGAGGAGGAGGATGGAGGAGGACGACGACGAGGTCCAGTGCAGCGCAAGAGTAGCTTCACATTGCTACAAGCTACAAGCTGCAAGCTGCTCCTGAACAAGCCGCTGCTCCTGGAATTATGAAAAAAGCGCGGTGTTAAAAGATCTAAAGACGATGAGGATTCGAAGAATAAAAAAAAGTAAAATTATAAAATCCAAAACATATCGAGTCATAGTAGAAAAGAAGTTCCCTATTTCAATTCTAAAAAAAGCACCATAAATAAATAGATAAGAACGGGTGGTTTGATGTATAAATTGAAAATTGAAATAATGAAATGCCATAAAAGAACCACGCCCCCC